AGGCAGCTTTATTAATTGGACAATTTGCTGCAACTGATTCAGATTGCAAGGTGGGTTAACTATATTTCTTTCTTTCAATATTTTTCCATGATTTGAGTCAATTTCTCACCCATGTTTTGCGTTTGGCACCACAAAAATGTTAGGAATCAAAACACCATTAAGCTTCTTTTTCTTTGTTCAAATAATGATCCTATTACTTGCAATCTTTGCTTTATCCTTGTAGATAGAGCTTTGTTCCTTCCATATTGATTCCTTGCTTTTGGGGACATTGCCCTTGCCCTTCCACTGAAATAGTCAGGTTTTTTGTAGGTTCACATTGTACAGAGGGGTGCTATTCAGCCTCTGATTGAAATGCTTCAGTCCCCTGACGTACAACTAAGGGAGATGTCAGCTTTTGCGTTGGGGAGACTCGCACAGGTTATTATTTCTTCACATATGTTGTTTCTTTTGTGTAAATTACATTTCTTTGGTCAATATTGTCTTTATCTCAGTGGATGTATTCTGCCATTCAAGGATGGATTTTGATTTTGTGCTGAGAATTTACTTAACCATTGATGGACTTATTTCATGTTCCGCTAGAAATGAAGATGAATTTGTGGGTCATATGTTTTGACAGTTGAGCAGTAGTTCTAGAATTCAACTCCTGAGGAGTTTCTTTTAGTCACTAATATCATTACTAGTCTCAGGTTTCCTGACAGAGATCTGATGAATTAATTTTCATGTATTATTGAAATAATGCTTTTTCTGTCTTTTGGTGCTATGTGATATGCTCTTTGGTAATAATGATTCAAGTTTTTGCTAATTCAGGACACAAACAACCAAGCTGGTATTGCACATAATGGTGCTTTAGTGCCATTGCTGAAGCTTCTTGATTCGAAAAATGGTTCTTTACAACATAATGCTGCATTTACTCTTTATGGTCTTGCAGATAACGAGGTATGGTATAATTAATGAATTTTCATGAAAATTGTGTCAAGGTAGACATTTAACATCATTTTACTGTGATGTAATTTATTGATTCGTTTTCCCTGCTAGGATAATGTCTCCGATTATATTAGGATTGGAGGTGTTCAGAAGCTGCAAGATGGAGAATTTATTTTTCAAGTATCTCTCTCTCTCGCTCTCACTAAAGATTTAATTTATATTTGTAGTTCCTTAGATATACAATGGATGTTTTCAGTTCTTCCATTTTTCTTCTCTCTTTGCTTCATATTATAATTGTAACCTGCAAGAATTGACGAGTCATATTATCAGGCAACAAAGGATTGTGTGACCAAAACATTGAAAAGATTAGAGGAGAAGATTCGTGGACGAGTGAGCATTGTCATGTCTATTTTTAGTTTTTATTTTATTTTGTAATTTCTAGCATTTTGTATGCTTTAAGTATTAAATCCAGTAGATTGTAATTTCTTATTTTCTTAATGTAGGTTTTGTCCCATTTGCTATATTTGATGCGTGTAGCAGAGAGGGCAGTCCAAAGACGAGTTGCTTTGGCTTTTGCTCATCTTTGTTCACCAGATGATCTGAGAACAATATTCATTGACAACAATGGCATGTCACATCCTCTGTTTATATCATATTTTTTATGGTTGCTTTTGCATAGGAACTTATATTCTTTATATACTTCTGCTCGTTTTGGATTTTCTGATATTGATATTATTAAGCAGGTCTGGAGTTGCTTCTTGGGCTTCTTGGTTCCAGTACCCATAAACAGCAACTTGATGGTGCTACGGCTTTATATAAGTTGGCTAACAAAGCCATGACTCTTTCTCCTGTGGATGCAGCTCCCCCATCTCCAACACCACAGGTTGGGGTGTTGTTCAATAACTGCTGGTTTTTTCATGCTTGCGGAATGAATTCTTTAAGTTTTTGAACATAATATAAAGTCTGGTAGCAAAATATATATTTTTTGTTTTCCAATTTATTCACATTTTTGTTGGCCATTTTGGACCTCGAAAACAAAAGGGAAGATAACCACACAGCTCATTATCATTTCACTTCTCTAAACAGTTCCTGAACTTTTTGAAATTTCCTTCTTAAGGCATGTTATACAACACTTTGCTTATACTATATGATAGTACTGTAAGATTCTCTGTCCTTAAAAGAATACAATTCAAATAGTGTTTTCTGATGCATTTGAAGTACCGATTAAAATATAACAAAACGTATCAAAGCGTAAGTTGTCAAAGTGGAATCTTTTCTTTTTAAGTTCACATACCGATTGCAATCTAAAAGAATTTTCCAGAAAGAATTGAATTCTAAATTCCTATTCAATGGTTGCTTTCTTGCAATTAAAAGTACTGTCATCTTAAGCATTAAAGTAGTTATTTGGCATGAATTTCGTGTGATGGTGGATAAATCTTCGTGCAGGTGTATCTGGGGGAACAGTATGTAAACAATCCTACGCTGTCCGATGTTATTTTCTTAGTTGAAGGTTTAAATCTCTTATGCTAACAGAATATTTAATTAGCATGGGTGATTGTATTGTTAACATAAATGACCTCTTTAAACATTTGATTGTTTACTGACCAATTGCAGGTAAACGGTTCTATGCTCACAGAATTTGCCTGCTTGCTTCTTCAGATGCGTTCCGTGCAATGTTTGATGGTGGTTACCGGGTGGGTATCTGCATATAGTGATTTCATCCTAGATCACAATTTACCTACAATTAAACACTGTAGTGCAAGTAATAGAGTAAAAATGTTGTCTTCATGTTCGGTAGTGTGCAATATCTTTATAATTTCCAGATAACCTATTACAGGAGAAGGATGCGAGGGACATAGAGATACCAAATATTAGATGGGAAGTTTTCGAGTTGATGATGAGGTAAAGTGAAGATTGTGTTTTCTTTGTCTTTCAAAAAAGCTGTCGGGCAAGCTTTGATAACTCAGAAACTTCCGACTTTACACAGATTTATATACACTGGATCAGTCGACATTACTCTTGATATTGCTCAAGATCTCCTCAGAGCTGCAGATCAGTATCTTTTGGAGGGACTCAAGCGGCTTTGCGAGTACACAATAGCACAGGTGACCTGACAGACTCTCTCTCTCTCTCTCTCTCTCTCTCTCTCTCTCTCTGCTCATGTCTTGCTCTGAGTTGAAAAAGGCAGCCACCTAATTACAATTCTACTCTTTTTTGACTTAGGACATATCGTTGGAGAACGTTTCAAACATGTATGAACTTTCAGAAGCCTTCCATGGAATGTCATTAAGGCACACATGCATTTTGTTTATCTTGGAGCAGTTCGAAAAATTGAGTGCCAGACCAGGGTATGTGCTCCCTCCAACTGTTCGTTCGTATTCAAAGAGATTAATTACGTATAGTCCGCCTGAGTTCCTAGATTTAGTCTTGTTTTTTCTTAGCGAAAATTGGCATCGCCTTTGCTTCTTTTGGCCGAATCCTCATTTTTGTTTTCATCTACTGAAATTGTGTCGATGCTGCAACACTGCAGGCACTCTCATCTGATCATGCGTATATTACCCGAGATCAGCACTTACTTTACTAAAGCGCTTACGAAGCCTAACCCACATAGCTTGCGGCTATAAGTCGCTGCCTTCAACCCTTGAGTTCTAACACCCCGATGTACAGAAAACGGTACTAGATGCTCTTGCTGTTGTCGAGCCGTGAGATTTCTCTAATTCTTTGATTGTAGTTTGCTTACAATCGGTCATGATTACTTGTAAAAACGACGCCACCTTTGTAGTACAATTCTGACATTTCTCGGAATATTTATGATCTTCGCCCGCATGGTCTCTTCAACAATCTCAAAAGTTTCTGAGCCGTTGGATGTAGCAGTGCAGTCGAAGCTAGAATGATTGAAACTCTGTTCGTATAGGAAATGAAATAGGCTGAATCCAAAATCATCTAAAAGTTATTAAAATTGCTGGTGAGTTGTTTACTATTAACACTTTATAGCTGTAATATATGGATTCGAACAGAATTTGGCCGAATGAAGCCTGTAATTGATGAAAACGGGATTATATTATTATAGTACAATTTTCATATTTTGTTATTTTTCTATTTTTCTATTTTTCTATTTTTCTATTTCCTTTCTTATTTAGATACCTAAGGCTACTAGGTTTAAAAACATTATAAATAGGTCATCTTGGTCTTAGCCTTGTTATTAATTCATATTATTATGTAAGGAGGAGCATTTGAATTTGAATACAAAACGGCCAACTAGCTGCCTCAAAACATCTCTAAAGGAGATATCAAAATTGTTGCATAAACATACAACAATAAAAAATAGCAACAAACTCCATCCAACCTTGTCTTTAATTTCTTATGTGGGGTTGAGTTAATTGACGAGAAAGTCTTATGACGTCAAATTTGACAGCTCCTATCAAATTGATTTAATAATGTTTTAATAGGTGTGATGCCTCTTTACTTGTAAGTGAAATGTTTTAGGTTTGATTATCGTCAAATGTGAATTTGAACCATATTGTTATAGGTAGCCCAGTGTTAGGTTTAGTCGACTCTCCCACCTCCCTTAGTCTAGATAATATCGTTTATTCCAAGTATAACAAATGTTGATGTGTGGTCTAAGTATTTGATTGGTTGTCTCAATAATTAAACCCACAAATATTGCTGTGTGTGATGCAATATATAACAGGTGTTGCTGCGTGTTCCAAATATTTGATTGGTTGTCTCAATAATTAAACCCATAAAGAAATGGAAAAATAATAATAGAATGACAATTTTGTTTAACATATCAAGTGGAGTGGAGCAAAAGATTATACAAAATTTCAAATCATTACCAAAATCATCAAATATTATATTGACGTTTTATGTTTGACGGTTCTTTTGAAAATATGTTCTAACAAGCTGGCGAAACCACATCTAAACATAATCAAATGTTTTAGGTGCACCTACTCCAATATTTACAAATTTAGAAGTAGTTTGCGGGCTCAAAGTGCCCACAATATTTTAATTGAAAATGGCAATGATCCACAATTTTTAAATCAAAGGCATCTCTTTTAAAAGCCTCGGAATTCCATGATTCACACTTCAATTCCATACTTTTTCCGTATCTTCTACCAAAGTCTCTGCAATGTCTTCCAGCACCAAAGAAATAGCCTCGGAGTTCCTTCCCTTCATCAGATTCTACAAGGATGGCTCGGTGGAACGCCTTTTGGACTATCCATACGTGCCCCCATCTCCAAATCAAAACCCTGAAACTGGTGTCTCCTCCAAAGATATCACCATCTCAGACAACCCCAATATCTCCGCACGCCTTTACCTCCCAAACCTCTCTCAAAACCAATCCCAAAAGCTTCCCATCTTGGTCTACTTCCATGGTGGTGGGTTTTGCATTGAATCCGCCTTCTCATTTCTTGACACCCACTATCTCAACCGCTTGGTCTCAGAAGCCCGAGTCCTAGCCATCTCTGTTGACTACAGGCTCGCCCCGGAGAACCCACTTCCTATTGCTTATGAAGATTGTTGGGATGGTCTTCGATGGGTTGCTTCTCACTCAAGCAACAATGACTCAGGCGGTGACAAAGAGCCATGGTTAGTCAGGTATGGAGATTTTGATAGGCTTTACATTGGTGGTGATAGTGCAGGTGGAAACATTGCACATAATATGGCTATCAAGGCAGGAGTTGAGAGCTTGTGTGGTGGTGTCAAAATTTTGGGTGCATTTTTATCCCACCCTTATTTTTGGAGTTCCAAGCCAATTGGGTCAGAGCCTAAAGGTGAAGACTTTGAGAAAGCTGTCCCTTATTTGATTTGGGACTTTGTTTATCCATCAGCTCCCGGTGGGGTCGACAATCCGATGTTAAATCCGGCGGGTGAGGGAAAACCGAGCCTGGCTGGACTTGCGTGCTCTCGGCTGCTCGTGTGTGTTGCTGGAAAAGATGAGCTGAGGGACCGAGGTGTTTGGTATTACGATTTGGTGAAGGAGAGTGGATGGAAAGGAGAAGTGGAGCTGTTTGAAGTTGAAGGAGAGGACCATTGCTATCACATCTTCTGTGAGAGTGAAACTGAGAATGTTAAGAAAATGATAAAACGCTTGGCTTCTTTTCTTGTCTAGTAATAGTATGATCAAATTTATAAAATAAGTTTTTAATAAATATTGTGTGTTTTTCAAGTATTTTATTGGTTGTCTCAATATTGTTGTGTTTTTTAAGTATTTGATTAATATTAATATATAATAAATAGGAATGTGATATCCACATACCTTTTTTTACTTCTCTCACACTCTTTTAATATTCGGTCGTTAGATCGGATGAGTTGAAGAAGACCAAAGAATAGAAATTAATAAGGAGTGTGAGAGAAGTAAAAAGGGATGTGTGGATAGCACACCCCAATAAATATTGGATCTTGGATTCATGACTTACTACTAAATCTTGGATCTTGGATCTTGGATCTTAAAGCTGCAACAATTGTCAAATTTGAGGTGGTGGTTTTGTGGTTTCTGCTCTTAGCAAATGACTATGAGGAGGAAGCTTGGTGTTTGGGGGTGACTCATACTAGGATTTTTATGTTGACGATTACAAGGTTATCAAAGGGTGGTGCAGTCTTACCTCATGGGTGCGTGAAGCTTTTGGCCTTAATCAAAGGTGTTAATTGTTTTGTAGGTGCAATTTTGTCCAAGATCAAGGAGGAAGAAATTTGCATCTACAAATTGGTGCTTTCATTGAGAGAAGAGTCACACACTCATAGAAGACTCCCGCATCAAAAGGTTTTTCTATTTTCTTGTCCATTTGTAGATTTTTCGTACTTTCTTATTATTAGAATTTTTTATTTGCAAAGATTCTTTGATAAAACGTAAAATCCACAAATGAAAATTCCAATATTCAAGAAATGGGACCACGACGATCCATGAGGCAAAATGTGATTATAGGAGCGGCACCATCGCTACGGGGCTCCACCATGGTAACCACCGCGGTGGCCACCACGGTCACCACTACCCATGGCGAGGTCTATGGCATCACTACCACAGCCCGAGATGTGCCATCCAAGGCTCACGGCACCAAGGCCACGACCCAAGCCATGTCACTCCAAGCCCAACGCGAACTCAACGCTTTGCCAAGCCGAGCCCAAGCCTTGCACTCATGTGCATCACACTCCAAGCAGCCCACTCTCGTGGCCTTCCAAACAGCCTAAATCGATTCAAGATTAGTTCAACTGTCCCAGCTCTAAATTTTTGGACAAACGATCGAACCGGGAGCATTTTCACCACATTTTTCTACCGATTTGACATTTCCCAACTCAAATCTCGCACCCGGAGTTTACCACACTCCCACTGCTTAAGGAGATGCATTCATTCCAAGCTATTCCAATCTAAATAGAGAACAACACTTGTCTCAACAAGTCATAAAGTTGACGAGCGCCCTATCACCGTAGACGACTTTGGTGAACCAGCTTTTGCAGCTCATCGAGATGCAATGTGCCTCAGACGATGTGTCTCGAAGTAGGACAAGGGCAGACAAAGAACCTCTCCAGCAGTATCCCGGTAAGCAGCCACTCGACCAGCCACGAACCGAGTGTTTGGGCAGTGTACACTCCCAATTGGGCCCCCAAGATAGCGTTTACTCTCGTCTTAGCGCGCAGAGGAGCGTGCATTATCGACTAGGCCTATGTACGAGCATACATTTGCGGTTAGGGTCACACTCTGATAGTTAACATAAGCAACCTTCTAGGTGAAGTGTTCATTCGCGGCTAAGCACGCAAAGAGCATCATCCACCTCACGTGGAGTAGGTAGCATGACGGACGGAGAGAAGCAATCACTCAATCCGGCTTAAGTTCAATAGGCAGCCTGCGAATAACTCGCTAGCCTATAAGGAACACACCACATGCACCGCATCCGGGGCATAGATGAGCCAAGCACATGGAAGAGCAACCTAGACCAGCAAGTTACAGCTGAGGGCAACCGAGAGTTCCGCTACCCTAACAAAGGTAAATTCAAGAAGAAGTAGAGAGACTCTTGACCAATAGATTGCATAATTTCCAACGCAACGAGGTCACCGACGAGGCAATATGACGGAACATGACCAACATAAGGAGGTCACCCTTCACAGACGAGATCAAGCAGGCAGAGCCTCCACATGAGTTCAGCATGCCACATTTCATATCTTTCAAAGTGGATGAAGACCCGAAGATACACTTAAAGCACTACCTAAGCGTAATGATCCTCTATCGAAACAACGATGATCTCATGTGCAAGATATTCACCACCATTCTACAAGGCGAGGCGTAAGATTGGTTCTACACCCTGCCCCATAATTCACCCGGAGTTTCAACGAACTTTCTTTGGTTTTCACCAAAGAATATTCATCCTATTGCTCGATCAAAAAGAAGTCCAACCATTTGTTCAACGTCAACAAGAACCCAAAGGAGTCGCTTCGCGACTATGTGAAGAGGTTCAAGCAGAGAAGGCAAGGATAGTTGGATGCAACGACTCGATAGCTAGAGCAACCTTCCAAAAAGGACTTCCAGCATACCACCTGCTATTTGGAAAATTGATCATGAAAGAAGATCTAACTATGGCAGACTCTTTCGCTCTGGTACAGAATCATGCCCTTTGGGACGAGGCTCGCCAATGCACATTCAATGACTTGAAGAAGTACTCGACATCACCTATTTACTATCCAAACCGGAAGCAGCGGATGACTTATTCACATGTTTGACGGTATCTAAAGTAGTAATAAGCTCTACCATCATGCGAGAAGAGTTGGGGGCCTGACTACTTCTATTCTACAGTTTAAAAGCTCTCCTCGATGCTATTAAAAATTCAAAAGCTAACTTTGGCGATAGTTATTGTAACCTGGAAGCTCAAATTTTACCTTCAAACGCATGTAGTCATCCTCATGACGCACTATTTTGCCCAATCCAGACACGTGACGATAAAGGCGTAAGACCTTGGTAAATGTAAAGTTTTTTTACGAACGCAACAACTCAGCCCAAAAGATATGCCAAGGGCAGACAAATACTGGAATGACACACTCGAAAGTAAGTTTGTCCTTGTTGCCCCAAAAAATTCTACATAGGAGTAACATGTACCGACAGTTTAGCACCACTTCTTGCTACATGTCACACGATCCCAGCCGACCCTTGCTCTATAATTCCACTCTAGAGTGGTCCAATACCGGCAGTTGAGCATCTCCTGTTGCGTGTAACATGGCCCTAGCTCCATGACTCCTTACCATGCATTTATGACGAAACAGAGTGGCCCAACGACGCCCCTGAGGTAGTCAAGCACGCCCTAGCCGTGACTGTTCCACTCGATGGAGACTTCTGGCATTTGCATGTCTACAGCGCATCCAACTACAAAGGTTCAAAAGTAGGTGTAGTCCATTAGGTTTCAAAGTATCTAACAACGAAGCAGAATACGAGACCCTACTAGTAGGCTTCCGAATGGTAAAAGACTTGGCAGTGAAAAAGCTTGCAATTCATTATGATTCCCAGCTAATCACTAGCCAGACTGCTTGCATCATTTTAGATTTACACCCTCACTCAAGTTCCACAGGCAGACAACGCTCACGTGGACACACTAGCCGGCTTAGGCTTCGTCCTTGACCACTAACTCAAATGCTCTATTTCAGTGGAGTATTTAGACGAGCCAAGCATAAAGGCGAAGCCAGCAGCCGATGTGTCACAGGTTAGTACAACTCCAAACTGACAAGATTCCATCGTAGACTACCTGGTCATTGGCACATTCCACACGAAAAGATTGGAGTCTAGGAAGCTCCAAATCAAGGTAACACGTTACTACATGTGGAACGATATTCTCATCCGAAAATCCTACACCGGACCACATCTCCGTTGCCTAGCGCTTCCCGATGACTTGAAGGTTCTAAGCTCAATTCACGAAGGCGTTTGTGGAAATCACTCTAAAGGTCGATCCTTAGCACAGAAGGCTCTTAACTCAGTCGACTACTAGCCTACCATGCACCAAGATGCTAAGGAGTTAGTACAACGACTGTTGCCAACGCTACAAGTCGGTATCAGCACTGTCTGCCAGTGAGCTACACCCACAGACGAGTCTTTAGATGTTCATGTAGTGGGCAATCAACCTGGTAGGACCTATGCCGCCTGCTACTAGGGGCAGAGGCATGATGATTATGGCAACCGACTACTTCACCAAAAGGGTAGAAGCAGAGCCCATGATAACCACGACTCAGACAGACATAGAGCACTTCATATGGAGGAACATCATTTGCCGATTTGGAATCCCTCAGTTCATCGTCACCGATAACAGCTCGTAATTCATGGGCCAAGATATGGCATCAAGCAGCACATGTCCATGCCAAGATATCCTTAAGGCAGTGGCGGACCGAAACATCCAACAAGATGATCCTTGACTACCTCAAGAAATCCCTCACCAACAAGAAGGGAAAATGGCCAGATGAACTCCTCGGATGTTTATGGGCATATCGCACCACCAAAAGACGAGCAACCAGTGAGACTCATTTCGCTTTAGTATTTGGCTCAAAAGCAATCATTCAACCCAATGTCATCAAACTAAGTATCACCGCTCTACTACTAAGTATTGAGCGGAACGGTAAAGAGATGGCCACAAGCCTAGATCTAATAGAGGAGAAGCGCGAGCAGACCATCACCTGCATTGTAGCATACCAGCAACAACTCATTTTCAACTACAACAAAAGGGCCAAGATCCAGCAGTTCCAGCCCGAATATCTAGTCCTAAGAAAGGCATTCATCATTGCCCATAAAGAATGCTCCAAAAAGATGGATCTCATCTGGAAAGATCCGTACAAGATCAGCAGAGTAGACGACAAGAGTAATTACACCCTCGCCACCATGAAACGATAAAAAGATCAAAAAGTAGTGGAGCGCTTACAATATGAGGAAGTACTATATGTGACCTCCCGCTACATCAGAGCCCGAAGACTCAAGCAGCTCGACGGGCACCACCTCACAAGCCAAGGACTATCCGGTTGTTATGCAGTTCTTACCTTACAACTAAGTTCTCGTTCGTTCCACTCGTTTTTCAATTAGGAATTTAGAATTAATCACAATTTGGCTCTGCTGCATGCTTACAACAACTGATCACTCATGCATTTCAAAAAAAGACCATGCCTTTCTTAGGGACTCATCACAGGAATTGCGCCCCCCGATGGACCAACCACGCTATTCAGTGCGAGAGGGTAAACCAATTCCCCAACACCTACATGGGTCAGCTTTATAAGACGGGAGGATAAACTCTACACTCTGAATATCCAGACGTGGATAAGCTTGGCTGCTCTAGTATAACTAGATGCACGATGGCTTGTACCGGGTGTTGATGCACAAAACCGGAGGGGTCTTGGAACAACGTAAATCTGATCGTGAATCTGCAAGAAAGTAAAGAACACAAGATGTATCGTGGTTCACCCCAATGTTTGGGCTACGTCCACACTGATGTTGATATTGTTTCACTCTGAATGATGAATATACAAGAAGGCTAGAGGCAGTGTGCTCTCTAGCCTATTTTCTATGTGCTCTCTTCCCATGGCCTAAGATTTTGGCCTCTCCAAATGAGGAGAGTGATGAGTCATTTTATAGAATAAGGGCTCCTTACTTATTACATATTTTCCCCTTCATTTATTAAATAATTACATTTGAGTCCCCCGAGTATTTATATGAGGTCTAAATACAGAGGTCCTAAGTATGGTACAAACAGTAGTCCCCCAAGTCTTCAGTCAAGAGAGTCTTTTGGATGAAGACTTGAAATTCAGTCCATATGTAGGCCGAAGTAACTAGATGTCGTCTAGAACTGATACTCGATATGAGGCGGTGCTTAATCTAAAATGATGCTCAACTAGAAGTAGCACATGTTACGAGGCTGCCCGGTTTGTGGCTTATGTTGCCTCGGTTGGCTCGGCTTGTGCGGTTGAAGGTGAGGGATTCATTTTTATAGAATAAGGGCTCGTTCCTTAATACATGAATGATGGACTAGAGTTGATGCTCGCGGTGAGGCGATTGTTCAGCAGGCGGCGATGCTCTCTAATGATGATAAGTGAGTCCCTTTTATAGAATAAGGGATCGCTCCTCAATACATAAGTGATGGGTTAGAAGTGATGCTCACGGCGAGGCGATTGCTCAGCAGGCGGCGATGCTCTCTAATGATGGTGAGGGAGTCCCTTTTATAGAATAAGGGCTCGCTCCTCAATACATGAATAATGGGTTAAGTCCCCCGAGTATTTTTCATGAGGCCCAGTTGCGGAAGCCCAATATATGGTACATAGTGTAGTCCTCCAAGTCTTCAGTCAATAGAGTCTGTTGGTTGGAGACTTCAAATTGAATCCATGTATGGGCCGAAGTGGCGGTTGTTCGGATGCGGTATTTGTATACCCTGCACTGAAGGTTTGTAAGTGAAGCTTTTCAAGTGAAGCTTTGAAGCTGGATCTTTTGTAAATGAAGCTTTTGAAGCTGGAGCTCTCAAAGCTGAAGCTCTATAAATGAAGCTTTCGAAGCTGATTGACATGAGTGATGCTCATGAATGTTGACATGAGTGATACTCATGAATGTTGACATGAATGATGGTCATGAATGTTTATGTAGGATTGACATGAGTGATGCTCATGAATGTTTATGTAGGATTGACATGAGTGATGCTCATGAATATTTATGTATGATTGACATGAGTGATGCTCATGTATAATTTTGGAGTACTGGACGTACTTTTGATCACCTAGTTGGTGATAATAGTGGCAGGATGCCGAATAATTTTTGGAGTACTGGATGTACTTTTGATCACCTGGTTGGTGATAATAGCGGCAGGCTGCCGAATAATTTTGGAGTGCTGGACGTACTTTTGATTACTTGGTTGGTGATAATAGCGGCAGGCTGCCGAATAATTTTTTGTAGTACTGGACGTACTTGTGATCACCTGGTTGGTGATAATAGCGGCAAGCTGCCAAATAATTTTGGAGTACTGAAAGTACTTTTGATCACCTGGTTGGTGATAATAGTGGCAGGCTGCCGAATAATTTTTTGTGGTACTGAACGTACTTTTGATCACCTGGTTGGTGATAATAGAGGGCCTGGCTCTTTTGGGCATATGGGCATTCGCCATCCACATAACATTCCAGCCCATTATTTTGGGCTTGCCATTTTTTATTTATTTATTTATTTATTTATTTTTATGATTACCCTCTGATGAGGTTATACAGATGTCTCTGAAAGATAAGAAAAATAAATCACATCATTAAAAAATAAATCCGACCCTCTGCTCAATGGGTCACGCCCATAATTCCCTTTTCTGCATGCCATCACCACTGCAATTATGTCTGCTTCTTTTTATCTTCTTTGCTTTCTGCTTTTACTTTCTGCTTTTACTTTATGCTTTCTTTCTGTTTTATGCTTTTGTTTCCCACTCTATTTCCAGACATCATTTTGCTTTTTCTTTTCTCTTTCCACTGCGCCTCTCTCTCTATCTCCGTCTCTACTCTGTTGTCCATTTGTAAAAAGCATCTTTGGAGGTCATCACTCATGAGCTCCACAACCACTTCTTTGGAGGTCATCAACCCACTTGTGCTTGCATGCACCTGATCCAAACCCCTTTCGTCCTCAACGGTGGGTAGATTACGAGAAAAATGGTGGATTACGAGAAATTGGTTGATCCCTACTGGTAAATTGAATAAAACTAGGAATAAAGAAGAAGGGACGGACAAGAAGGGCTAGGAATGCAGCCCAGATACCATATTCACCCTTAATCCATGAGATGACGGCAGTCGGCGCTTGTAGAAGAAATAAGGGAACAAGAAATGATTTCTGAACAGCAGTCCTTTTTGCAAGCAACAGAACCGTAGTAGAAATGGTGGAGATAAACTGGAGGGTGTTGACAGAGAAAAGTGCAGCGTAAGTGTAACACATCGCACTCGATCCCCTCCTCTTACCCTTCATCACCACGAACTCCTTATTTCCACCAATCGAAACTCTGAGAGGGTTACGGTGGAGTGAGCTCAGACGAAGACAAGAGAGCTTGGCCGGCCTCGGTTGAAAGGCAGAAAATTTAGAGGTGGTAGCGCCGCTGCTGCCGACGCTGAAGAGAGAGACAGTCGGTGGTGAAGTGGAGGAGAGTAAGATCAATGGACTTGTAAGAATGAGAAGCAGCAGCATGCTCAGAGGCCTGAGTGTTCTTCTTCTCCAACTGAGCTGCTGGCTTTGGCGATAGAGGAATAGAAGAAACCTCATTCTTGGTTAATGGAGAACTCAAGCCTGCTACTTTACCCACATCAACCTCAAATCCATTAGTCATGGTAAAAGCCCATTTCTCAGAACACCCATCAATGGCGTCAGAAAATACCCTTTTAGCCCATGACACAGGGTTCTTTGGAGGGTTTGGAGAAAACCTAGTTGGCTTGTTCTTATTCCTCTGGTCTTCTGAACAATGTCTGGAGTCTGGCCACATTAGGCTAATCTCAGATAACCATCTAGGAATAACAGCGGAGACAGAATTCAGCTCCTTGCCACCGTCAGTCTCCATAGACACGACTGAAGTAGCAGCTTCCGCACCGTTTTCTTCGTCCTCCCTGGGCCTCTTCATAGGCAAATCAGCGGACCCCACCATAATCTCGTCCGTCATAGCCAAACGCACGAAAGGAATGAACCAACGAAACTTAAGGAGGCAATATGAATGAGTGAGCCGCCAGCGAGCAAGTTTCCAAACATTTTAAGGACACTTTGAGACAGATAGTGTGGTAGAAAGAGAAAGCAGAGTTACAGAGAGTAAGGTAGAGAGAGAAAGAATAGAGAATAGAGGGGGGGGGTTGAAGTTGGAGGTTTAAAGTGTGTATGAAAGTTTAGCTAGTGGATCTTGGAGAAGAAGGAATCAGACCGGAGGTACTGATTCTGCTTCTTAAAGAAAATGGTGAGACGTTTTTCGGTGTATTTTGGGTTTTTTGCAGATTCACAGTGCAGGTGAAAAAATGAAAAAGAACTGACATAGCTTTTGTGTGGATTCCCACAGACGACGCCAAATATTGATGCACAAAACCGGAGGGATGTTGAAACAACGTAAATCCGACCATGAATCTGCAAGAAAGTAAAGAACACAAGATTTATCGTGGTTCACCCCAATGTTTGGGCTACGTCCACACTGATGTTGATATTGTTTCACTCTGAATGATGAATATACAAGAAGGCTAGAGGCAGTGTGCTCTCTAGCCTACTTTCTGTGCTCTTTCTGCGCTTGATCCTTTGCCCTTTGGCCCAACCCACCACCTGCTTATCTCAAAAGGGGCACCTTCTTTCAAGGAAATAGGGTAGCAGATCGTCTGCTATTTAAGATTCCAATTCAAAGTTGGTAAACTACTACCAAACCGGATTCTCACCTGCTTTAAGGTCCCACATTGACTCTCCAATCAGATATCTCTTTTCGGCTTAGTTGTGTAATTAGTCGTGATAAGAGGAAGTCCCCGGATATACCACATCTAGTTCCAATGTAAGCTGGTGAAATGTTACCTTAATACAACTGACCAGGGCAATCCTGCCTCATCGGATGCTTATTGGGATGCCACATGGCTTAAGATTTTGGCCTCTCTAAATGAGGAGAGTTAGGAGTCCTTTTATAGAATAAGGGCTCATCACTTATTACATATTTGCCCCTTCATTGTTTACATAATTACATTTGAGTCACTTGAGTATTTATATGAGGTCTAAATACAGAGGCCCTAAGTATGGTACAAACACCGGGATTCCTAGAAGTAGCCACAATGGTCTTTTTCAAGGCTTAGCTAACTGAAGGGTTTTGGGTCTCTTGGCCTAATCCGTTGGGAACCGGGCCCTAGAGACAGAAGGGGCACATTACGCAGTACGCCCTACAGACGGCTGCCCTGGAACCCTAAAGCTGCTACCGAGTGCACTAAGGTAGCCTACGGTTTCTGAAAGACTGCCTACGGCTTGCCTTTTGAGCAGTAAAACCACGATAGACTTATACAACCGCACATTCTTATGAAAGGTTAAACAAGTTAGCGTGCATATATGAAGCTTTATCCACTGCCGACATGCTACATAGTGGATAAGCTTCACCTCTGCCAAGCGCAGAACAACTTACACCAAGTTCTAAAGTGTTGTGATACTTGTTACGCAACCTATGGAATTGGAGAAAGCCAAGGTTAACAGCCTAGTGGTTACGTAGACTTGTTTACTTCTGTAAGTAAGGCATCAGGCTGCCAACCTTATGGCTAACAACTTTGCAAAGTTCTACACCAACACCTACGGCTGCATAGGCTACGCGAGCCTGTCTGCTTATAGAAAAGTAGCACACCTGCCACTGGTCTATAAAGTCTAAAGGTTAGGGCATGAACAAAAGAAGTGAAGATGAAGAAAAGCAAAGGAAGCATGTTTATAAACAACTAGTAAAGGCCTAAGGAGTTCAAGCAAAACAAGAGCTACAAGGAAAAACAAAGAAAATCCTAAAGGCTACCTAGAAGACTACAATTCAGCAGCTTGGACATCCCACGAGTACTTGATCGCCACACCTTCAGCATGCATGACATTCTTAGCAGTGGCATCATCTAGCACTTCACCCTCGGCTACCCCAGCCTAGGCACCAACTTCTTCAACTACGTCACCAATGGAAACCTCAAAAGTAAAAGCAAACCAACACAGACGCACTGCAGCTCATCCACTTCCTTCTTTAGACTTTCGTTAATCTTCAGTACACCTTGAAGTTCCAACACTTGGGGGTTCAAGCCTATCGACGATTCTCTTGAAGTGGATCACTTAATTATAAGCAACAATCAACTCTTCATCCTATGCATAAGCAGCGAAACGAAGCTCAAAAACTGCAAACTCGAGATCTTGAATCTAAGCTGCAGAGAAGTGGGGGGGGCAGAACAACGAGCTCAGAATCCAGCCTCTTGATCTCCTCGGTCGAGGAATAAGCTTCAGTTGCCATAGTCTTCGCCACCTCCTTGGAAACCTTGCTATATCTGCATCATAGCAAACAGAGCAGTCGTTCTATATTGGGTTATATGCTTCGCAAAGGAATTTAGGCAAACAAGCATTTCTAAACTCCATCAACAAACTTGGCACAAGTGTCCATGTCTTCAAGCAGACCTGGTTTCAAGAGCACACAAATCTCAGTAGCCTCCCCAGAAGCAGGCTTAGTGGATTTCTCACAGCTACCCATGCGAGCAGTCACTTCTTTCCTAGCAGGCGAATCAATCTCAGCAGCAAAGGGAGTGGGCCTTAACGCTGCTTTAGTAGCAGAGTCCACCTTATCGCTCTTCCTAATAGAAAGCCTCTTCAAAGGTGAACTAGACTTAGTTCCCAACAGACGTCTTGGTACAGACTTTGGCACTGGGGACATAATATGACCTTTACGCTAAGCAATACTATCAACAATTGTACAAGCCATTCTCGACATGGCAGGCGTCACATACTCAGATCTAGCAGCCTCATTTTTTTCCCATTGGAAGAAGTCATGTCAATCACAGGACTCTCGGCAGCAGGCGGACCCTCACAATTAGCGAATGAAGTCTTCAGTTTTCTCAACCGGAATCTCTTGAGCAGGCAGAGAAGAACTTTTCTTTCCACCTTCATTCATAATAAGCTCCACGACAACGTTCAGACGAGCCAATGAATCCGCCTCGATCATTTTTACCTTCTCTCTTGGGAGCAGCCCACCTTTCTCCTGGTGAAGAAAACTAAGCAGTTAATGCCATTCACAGTACTCAACAGGGAAGCTCAACCCATACTGGCTTTTCCCTTATTTTTTCTCTCAGATCAGCAGGCAGAAGGCCTGCATGCCCAGCATTTTAGCAGCCCATGAGGCCCGCAACCTTTTCATTTATCTCAATTACCAGCCTGGCCTGCGTCAGGACCAAAAGCCCAAATGACAAGAACCATGCGATTGCATAGCACTGCGCCCTAGCACCTCAATCCGCGACCCAGCCGTGCAAGCTACCCTTGGCACTAGCCAAGCCAAGCGGCCCAAGCAATGGTCCCTGCTACAACACCTCATTGGTCCATGTCGAGCCAACTCCTGGCCCCTACCAGACAGCGTGCCGCACCACCTCGACAATTGTCCCGAGACAGCCCTATCCAAGAAGAAGACAAGGAAAATTAAATTTTTCGTACTTCGGTGCGGCGCGGAGAAGACGAAGAAAGCAACGAAAGACGATCTTTTGCACGGGCAAGATGTAGAAGATTGCTAGAGGAGGGGGAACAAATATTCTCTAAGCTTTCTCTCTCTTGTAAGGTAGAATAAATCGTCTCCAAAGTTGATTTAATAATCCACTTAAGGTGGACTTAAATAGGCTTTGAGAGAAATTTATTTCCCTTTTCTAGAAAGATCTAATTTCCAATTAAATAGGGAATTTACATCAAAATAGGAAGCAATCCTATGTTTCCTAAAGCAAGAGATCTCTACACCTGCTGCCATTTCCTGCAAGCAGCCCAACAGGTGTGGGTGCGTTTGTGGAGCCAAAAATAATCACAAGGCGACATGTGGATTTTTGGGTAAAAATGACAAAATTACCCTTGAGGCACATCAGATTTCCTACGTGCGAGCAGTGGACAATCATCCCTCAATCAAGTCAAAAGTGCCCAAAAAAGGTAACAAATTCAAAATTATTTCATCCATCCTCATCTTATATTCCCTACAAGGTAATTATTCCATAGCCTTCAAAACATTCCATATAAATTGAGTTAATTGGCCAATTAATGGATTAATTACCTAATTAATCCATTAATTGCCAAATAAATCACCCATTACACTAAAACATTACCCAAAAGGCCGGCCACTCTCTCTCCCAAGAGGGCCGGCCATGCTCTATATATTGAACCCCATTTTCTCTAAAAACCTAGGTCCACACTCTTGCAAAACTCCAAAAACTATCTAAACACTTTTCTCTCTAAATTCTAACTTTATCATTGGAGGTTCTTCGACCAAAGCCCCCTCCCATTCATCATGGGTGCGTGAGGCTTTTGGCCTTAACCAAAGGTGTTAATTGTTTTGTAGGTGCAATTTTGTCCAAGATCAAGGAGGAAGAAATTTGCATCCACATTGTACTCTCTTTCAGTTGCATTATGTAATCAAGGAATTGAATTTCATGTGGATGGCATTCTTCATTTTTCTGTTGCTATGGAGATTTTGATAGACTTTACATATATAGGTGGTGACTGTGCAGGTGGAAATATTGCACATAACCTAGCTATGAAAACAGGAGTTGAGAGCTTGCATTGTGGTGTGAAAATTTTGGGTGCGTATTTGTCCCTTTTATTTTTTTAGTTCTAAGCCAATTGGGGGAGAACCCAAAGGTGAAAACTCTAAAAAGACTATGCCTTATATGATTTGGGACATTTATGTGTCCATCGGCTCCCAGAGGTATTGACAATCCAATGGTGAATCCGGTGGGTGAGGGTGCACCAAGCTTTGCTGGACTTGCGTGCTCTCAGCTGCTCGTGTGTTTTGCTAAAAAAGGATGTGTTGAGGGATCAAGGTGTTTGGTACTACAATTTGGTGAAGGAAAGTGGGTGGAAAGGAGAAGTGGAGCTATTTGTAGTGGAAGAAGAGGATCATTGCTTTTATTTCTAGCTCGAGACCAAGCCTGAGAATATTAAGAAAATGTTTAAACG